CCCCCACCCCTGCAGCTGCTGACTGAGGATGAGGTCACAAAAGCTGGTGCCCTTGTCCCAGTCATCACCCCCATGTCACAAACGTGTCCCTCTGGTTCCACCAGGCAGAGTGGCAAGGCAGTCTGTCACTTTACCCCCAGACCACCCCAGGCGAAGACCCTTCGTGGGACAGCAGGGTGTCAGCATGGCGTGGACACCGCCTTTCTCCCAGAGCTTCCAGCCAAACAACCCCGACGGGGACAGAGATGCTGCCTCAGCTTCAGAGCCAGACCCCAGCAGGAGAGAAGACCACTTCTGGCATAGAGAACCCAGCCAAGCCACACCACCAGCCACAGTCAATCCTAGACAGCAAGAAGAGGCACGGCAAGGTGAGGGCAGTGGCAACAGCCTAGTGCAGCAGCAGCAGCAGGTGCGGGCAGAAGACCTGCTCCACTTGGTCCAGGAGTTCAATGGGGCTGCCTGGCTCAGAAAAAAAAAGCAGCGCATGAAAAAGAAGTATTTTAACAAAGAGAATAAGCTAGGGCAACAGGGGAGGGAGGACCTCACAGAGCAGTATCCCTGTGCACCTTCCTCCAGTGGTTTCAGGAGGAAGAGTGGCCAGCAGGGCCAGCGCAGGTCTCCTGTGCATGGAACACGTAAGCAGCACAGGAGGGCACGCCGGCGGCGGCGTGACAGAAGGAGGAGTCAACAACAGCGACGCACTGAGCCCCTCCATCAAGACCAAGCAGGTGGACAGAGCAGCAGTGGTCAAGATGAAGGGCTGCTCTGGAATGTGAAGAAGTGCTGCTGGGCCAAGATCTCACAGGTGCCAGAGGAGATACTGCAAGAGGCAAGCAGGCGCCTCCGCCCCATGAACATGGCAGGGTACTGCCTGCCAGGGATGTGCACACCTCACCACACCAGGGCCCCCAATCAGTACACGTGGAGAAATGAAGAGGAATCGGTAGCAGTGATCTCTGGAGGAAGCTGTAACTATAGTACTGCAGCTGAGGACTTCCTGCTTGTGGACCCTCTCCCTTCTATGGTCCAGAAGGATGAATTCACATCTACAGAAGAGGAGGAGGAGGAGTATGAGGAGAGGACAGAGATTGCCCACCAAGAGTAGAAGTGCCAAGATAATATCTACTGTGAAACACACAGTGGAGTGACAGCACATGGAAAGCATCTGACTTGTAAAATCATCAACAACTAAGAGGAGGCAGGCTCTTGGCATTCAGCTCCCTAAATAAATATGTCTACACTTCCAACCCTGCTTCCTACTGCCTAGTGATTCCCATACACTGAATAGGGCTAGCAGAATAGTGGGGCCAGTTATGGGCCCCATAATTTCATAAGGATGTTCAAGTAACTCAACTGTGTCCAGAGGGGAGCAGTAAAGCTGGTGAAAGACCTAGAAGGAACATTATATGAGCAGTGGCTATGGACTCTAGGCTTGTCTAGCTTAGAAAAAAGGAGGCTGAGGGGTGGCCTCCTGGCTCTCTGCAGCTTCCTGAAAAAGGGGATGTGGAGAAGGGATATGCTGATCTCTTCTCCCAGCTATCTGGTGACAGGACACATAGGAATAGTTCCAAGTTGTACCAGGAGGGGTTCATACTTGACATAATCATAGAATGGTTTGGGTTGGAAGGGACCTTAAGGATGACCTAGAACCAGTCCCCCCTGACATAAGCAGGGATTCCTCCCAGCAGACCAGATTGCTCAAAGCCCCGTCCAACTGGGCCTTCAACACTTCCAGGAAGGGTGGCATCCACAACTTCCCTGGGTGACCTGTGCCAATGTCTCACCACCCTCACAGTAAAGAATTTCTTCCTAATGTCTAACCTAAATCTACCCTGCTCCAGTTTAAAACCACTACCATTTGTCCTGTCATTACATCTGCAGCTTCCCTGTAGGCCCTTCAGGTATTGGAAGGCTGCTATAAGGTCTCCCGCGAGCCTCCTCTTCTCCAGGCTGAACAGCCCCGATTCTCTCAGCCTGTCTTCATAGCAGAGGTGCTCCAGCCCTCTGATCATATTTGTGGCCTTCATCTGGACTTGCTCCAGCAGCTCCATGTCCTTCCTCTGTTGGAGGTTCCAGAACTGGATTCAGTACTCTAGGTGGGGTCTCATGAGAGCAGAGGAAAATACATACCTTACTCAACCTGCTGGCCGTGCTTCTTTTGATGCAGCCCAGGATATGGTTCACTTTCTGGGCTGCAAGAGCACAGTGTCAGCTCATGTTAAGCTTCTCATCAATCAACTCCCCCAAGTCCTTCTCCTCAATCCATTCTCCACCCAACCTGTAACTGTGCTTGGAATTGCCCCAACCCAGATGCTGGACCTTGGACTTGGCCTTGTTGGACTTCATACAGTTTGCATGGGTCCACTTCTGAAGCCTGTCAAGGTCTCTCTGGATGGCCTCCCTTCCCTCCAGTTTGCTGCCTACATCACACAGCTTCATGTTGTCAGCAGACTTGCTGAGGATTCACTCAATTCCACTGTCCATATTACTGACAAAGATCTTAAACAGCATTGATACCATTACTGTCCCCTGAGGAACTCCACTCACCACTTGTCTCCATTTGGACACTGAGCTGTTGATCACAACTCTGAGTGCAACCATCTATCCAGTTCCTTATACACCAAGTGATTTATGCATCAAGTCCATATCTTTCCAATTTAGAGACTAGGATGTTGTGCAGGACATTCTCAAATGCTTTGCACAGGTCCAGGTAGACATCAGCTGCTTTCCCTTTGTCCACCAATGCTGTGACCCCATTGTAAAAAGTCACAAAATTTCTCAGGCACGACTTGGTAAAGCTGTGTTTGTTGCCATTAAGAAACAATTCTTCATCAAGAGTGTGGTCAAACACTGGGACAGGCTTTCTAGAGAGGTGGTTGATGCCCCAGGCCTGCCATTCTTTAAGAGGTATTGGGAAGATGCCCTCAAGATCATGCTTTAACTTTTGATCAGCCCTGTCCTTGTTAATATACTAGGATAGATGAGAATGCCACACACCAGTTAGTACAAATTTTTAGAATTTTGCTACATTACTGAACTAGTTTGAACTTTTTACAGCACATTTTCTCCATTAATAATCTACAAGTTGTGCGTCATCTTCTTGACTTCAATAATGGACCACTGACACTGTATTGTTCAGATGTTGCCATGCAGGAAACTGTTTTAAAAGATTCTGAATATGAGCTCAGTTATTAAGTTGAAACATCTTTCTTCAGAACTACTTCTGCCATTATTTATATATATTAAAAAATCTTTCAGAAGTGCTTGTAATGTGGCAATAAAGCTTTAAAGCCTAAATTTTGAATATCTGATTGTTTTGTGCATTTCATCTGCTTCTGTGACAAAACTGGGAAAAGCAGATCTGTGGTACTGCTCAGTAATATAGCACAGCATGGCTTAAATATTGAATTTCTGTTTTAAATGCTTCTAGGGAAAAGAAGCTTATTGCATTTTTAACAGTTTCATCTTCTGACAAAAGAAACTGCATTTGTTAAGTAAATGCTGGTTTTAATTTAGGGTGTAGATACAAGAAATGAAAAAAGTTAGAAAATGGAAGATGTTCTTATAACAGTAAAGAGACTGGACAAATTCTGTTAAAAGGATCTCACAATGAAAAACATCATCTGAGAGAAAATATCACCTATTTCTTTTTCCTTTTTTTTTTTTTTTTTTTTTTTTTTTAAGTGGGCTAATACAGAGAAATATTTGGCTCTAAAGTGCTCTCGCAGCTAAGAGGCTGAAGCAACACTAACTTTATGGTGACATCAGAATTAACCTTGTTTATCAAACTGCATTTTATGTTTAAGATAAGCTCTCCAGACAACCAGTATCTAATAATTCCAGCTGACATATAAATACTTTCAAAGACATGGCACATTAACAGGATATGAATGTGAATTATTTATGTATGAGTAACATTTCTTAAGCTTCCCAAATAACCTTTCATAATGCCTCCCAAATCACACACTTCCTAAAACATGAATTTATTGTGAACTCTGTCTGAATAAATAATTGTAATGACATCAGAAGGAACATAAGATCAGTCTAGTGTTGACATTTCCATTAAAAAAGCTCATTACATAAAAATCTCAATCACTAATATTTTTACTGTATATACTTAAGTATACACTCAGTTTAGCAAATTGAGGCCAAAAGAGTACTGCCATGAACACCATTAATAGCACTCCACACACCTGGCAGTATCTCTTTATTGTACATTAATGAAGCTGCAAGGCTTTTTTCCTGTTTCTTGTTTCCTGATAATGGTGCTGGAAAACAAAGTCCTATTCTTCATCTACTGAGTGTGACACTGACAGAACTAGTTATGACCTTTTGCTCCTTCTCGCTGGGATTGTATCATAAAAGCAGCACAGCAAGATGGTCTCTCTTTCTTACCATGGTCTCATGTACCAGAGACAAGAGATTAGAGTGTTTAGTGTTTCATTTTAGCTATCACATGCAAATGGTGAACAAAAATAATCTGAGAACAGCCTTGCAGACATTAGCTTAGAATTACCTTGAGAGATAAGGTTATCTGGATTAGTATCTGTGCTCCACTGTGCAATTTATGGTACTACAAAGACATACAGAGCCAAGAGAATAGATTAAGGTCACACTGAAGAACGGGCATTGATCTCTTGAATGCTAAGTAAGTATTTAAATTACTGAGCTATGAAATGGTGCCAGAATAGTATTATCCCCAGCTTCAGAAACTTGGAGAATCTCTTCTAATATGGCTACACTACAAAGATTCAAAGAAAATAAGCCCATGCTGTCTCTACGACAGTGTTGGTAATAGATGTATTGATAAGAAATAGCTACAACCACATAGGTTATGACAGGTTCAGAGTGATAGCTAGGTAACTCTTGAGTAAGGCTGCTATATCATCAGGGATAACTCAGCTAAGCACCACATCTCTCCTTCACAGTTTATCCTACAGTTCTGATATCTCAGTGACTCCTGAAGTTGTGTTGCTGCTGTTGGCTCTTGAATTCCTCACTGTGACAAGTTAATTATTCTGTGTTGGGTGTGATGATAGACATCCAAAGGACCCTTCATGTCACTTGAGAAAACTGCTAAAGAAAACAGGACTATTGAGAGAGCCCTTTACATAGAAGCTCTGGGATGCATTCATCCTTATTTGACTTTCATGTTACTTTGATCTAAAACAGCTTTTGAGAGAAAGTCAAACTAAGCCAGGTCTGAAGACATGGATGTAATGGAGAGAGTCCAGTGAAGGGTCAGGAAGACGGTTAAGGGATTGGCACATCTGCCACATGACAAGTTGCTCATGAGCTCCGACTGTTCAACTTGGAGAAGGATGGGGAGTACATTATTAATGGTATAAACGTCTAATAACGGCAGTAAAGAAGACAGTCCAACACTTCTCAGTGGTGGCCAGTGAATGGACAAGAAGCAATGGGCACAAATCGAAATGCAAGCAATTCTATTTAAAGTTGAGAAACACTGACCATCTCAGTGAGAGCGACAAAACACTGAGACAGACTGCCCAGAGAGGCTGTGGAATCTCTATTCCTGGATCTTCAACTGACTGGGCCCAGCTGACTGGGCACCGTCCCAGGCAACCTGATCTAGGAGACCTTGTTCTGAGCAGGATAGTTTGGCTTGGCAGTCTCCAAAGGGACCTCCTAATCACTGTGTGATTCTGTAAACACCTTACCTTGGGTGTTTTTCTCCTTTGGCAACACAAAGTAGTTGTCAATCACTACTCTAATAAACCAGCTATTCTATTGAAAACACAGCTCCACACCATTAATGACTTAACAGTGCTCCTTTGCATTTACCTTCCTAGTGATCATGAATGAAATTTTTGAAAAGCAGTAAAATTCCTGCAGAATTATAGTTTAAATGGAAGGTGTGGCTTAGAATACACATCTCAAATGTAAACATTAAACAGTACTTGTAATTGTTTCCAAATTAAGCCACATAAATTTAATAAGCTGCAGTGTTAAGGATATGTTAAAAAAAACAAAACAAAAACAACAAACAATGTCTATTATAATTTATTTTTATTTTTATTTTTTTCAAATGAGACATCCACATATTGTTGTTCTATTATGGATCATTATAATTACAAAAATACA